CAGGAACACCCCTCAGCATGGAGGGCCGTGCAGCTTGGGCAAAGCAGGATTAAATGTGTGCCTCTGCTGTTCCCTTGCGTCTGGGTTTAATAAAAACAAGGATAAACCTGGGGGAGCACAAGGGAAGGGGACAGGACTTGGCATGTGTTCAGGGAACCTCACCTCACTAACATGGCTTACACCTTTTCTTTAGAAGCCCACCATTGCAGTCCTTGCTATTAGCAGCAGCTCCTCATTTTGCAGAAGGAAGCTGCTTGAGGCTGGAATATATTTACACTGAAAACCAATGTCAAGGCGCGGAGCCGTCAGAAGAGTTTGGTAGTAGTAGCAGTTTCCATGGTCTGTGTAGGAAGCTATCTATAGCAACTGGGAAGCCACAGAGGGCATGTTATCACTACTCTGCAGGACATGCTCTGTCTGGCTATGTACAGGGAGGTGTATATATATATATATAGCCATATACAAAAATATAGACAAGACCTGTGGCTGTGTTGGAAAGCCTCATCCAGACGCACCTCTAGCAGAATCCTGTGCTTGGCCCCACCAGAGAGCTGGGTATTCCAGAGGCTATTTCAGAGGGATGCTGGACAGCCAGCACCACCCAAGAACAGCTGATCTGTAAAGTATCAGTGTACAGACCACAGTGCAAATATGCCCAATCCTTCTAAGATTTCTGTTTTCTTCTGAAGTATCTTTGTGCAGTTTATAGAAACATTTGCCCCCATTCCCATCTATGTACCTTGTAGATCAGCACTACATTAAACAGTCCCACCAGCAAAACTCTCCTTAATTTAAGAATTTACAGGCTGGGGGGCAGGATTAAAACAATTACAATATTAAAGAATTAAAGAACTAAAAAGTAGTTCAGGAGGGTCCTTAAGACCTTAAGAGTCCACCAGACTGCCCAAGGCAGGATCAGCTGTCCCTACGTCATTCCTGACAGTTGTTAGTCTAGCCTGCCATGAAAGAGCACCCCTGACAAAAGCTCCCCGGGCAGTAGGTTTACACAGATGCTTTTTAGCACGATGCCCCTCCACAGTGGGTCTGAAGTTAAAGGGGTTTTTAATGGTATAATAAGCAGTACAAAGGTCAGGTCCAAGATTAAAATGTAATTTTGCAAAGCAAGCCTATTTTAGTAAGGCATGGTCATAATTTAAAGAATGTTGCTAAATTAAGACTCCTGGACAGTCTAACAGCAAATAAATATAGCTCTGTGCTTAGGGAAGCCTTTAAATTATCCAAAGGTAGCATGCAATTTCAACAGCAGTCCTGCGTATTCCACTTTCTGGGCAGCATTAACACCCCTCCTTTCCAACAAGCACTCAGGAAGGGTGACAAACAACAGAAAGCTGTGCCTTCACTTCTATTCTGTCGCCCTTTTGCAGATTTCACATGAAAGGATAAGGTGAGATCCTCCCTCCCAGGGTGAGGCAGAGCCTCTGTCCCACGTGCTGTAGCAAAGAGGGCATGAGGAGAGATCTGGATGGAAAACCAGCGATGGCTGCCTCTTGCAGAAAGTTTCATGAAGGCTTCCCTGCTCTTGCAGACTGTGAGCATGTGGAGTGATTGGTTTAACCGGTGCACAGGGTAGCTCCTGGTCCTTGTGCCACAGCCTGGTTATCATTGCTGTTACGAGTTAACACAGAAGCCACCTTCACACGCATACGTGACTCAAATTGTCAAAACCCAGGCTTCCACGTGCCTATCTCTCCCCTTTCATTTGTGAGATTAACATAAACAACCTCATCTGGCAAGTTGAAAGCTCTTTCCTTACCACAAACATTTCCCCTCCCATGCACATTTTGAAATCCTTGAAGTGAGAGGTTGCAGAAAGTTCTCATACAGATTTTCTCTTCCCTGATGAACTTCCCCTTTTTATTGAGAGGCAGGACTGTTCCCTTGCTTGAGATCCTGCTCAGTCTCCAGTGATAATGGCCACTTCTGTCCAGTCCCATTCCCAAGTAGAGCCTGTACCTGGAGGAACATTTTAAAGGATGTCCTCGCAATACAGTTAAGAAAGAGGGCCACTTTGCCACTGCCTCAAAAACAAAGCAGTAGTGTGGAGGTTTGCTGTCTCTGGTGGGATCAGCTTGAAAACCTTTGGAGGTTATCATTTTCTGTGCCCTGAGGAGATGCTGTGTGGGCAGTTCTTCACCAAGAACATCTGATCAGCTTGCAAAAAACCCACCCCACAAGAGCTACAGCTGACAAGGAATAATAAGAGTTTTCCCTGCTTTCCGAAGCAACAGTTCTTTGATTTTTATCAAATCCAGAAACTAATCAGGTAAATAGAGACTGGGGAGACAAAAGATTTAAAATCTATGTGCAAATCTATGACATGCTGCAACCATTCAGTGGAGCAATTTAATTATAATTTAGTATAAAGATGATCAGACCTGCTTCGCTTTTACCCAGTGCTTGTCTAAAGCAAGAAAAACTTGTTAAGTAGTCTCTACTTGCAATAGCAAAAGAAGAGCTTTTCAGAACAACCATAGTATCTAACACCAACCTTAACAGACCAATATTCTCATTCAGCTGATGAATTTTAGACATTTCACATTTTAGTTGCAGCAAAAGGATCTGCTTACCTGGAGGTCTCTCTCCTCACGTCCTGACAGCACATCTCCTACCTCCAAAGGGGCACCAGTAGCAGAGTTCTTCCAAAATGCAAGGAGATGAGCTGTCCACAAAGGCTCTGACTTTAGAAATCATTTTTCCTTCCTCTCTACACAAGGTGACCCCAAACTGAATGGCTGAGGACTTGTTACAAGGGTAAAACGTATTTTTCTGGGAACACTATTTTTTCTAAAGTGATACTTAATTTTTGATACTGGCTTGCATGGAGAACAGCATATTTGATGTAGCTGAAGAAGCTCTTTTTAGGTTGCCTTTTACTTTGTTATAGTTGTCTTTTACTTTGTCAAAGGGCATTAGATCATGGAACAAGGTACACTTCATATGTCCTTCAACATACATATTTCAGATATTTCTCCAACGCCTAATTTACTTGTTAGGTTTTTTCCACAGCTGATGGTTGTTCTATTTAGAACAAAATTTCTCAAGATGAAACGTTCATAAATACAAACATACTTAGCATCAGTCTTCTAAAGTCCTTTTATCGTTACCTACAAATCAAGATGCTGAGAAAGCCCTAATGACGACGTTTAAAACCTCAGTCCTCAGATCCCATTGAAAGGACACATTTAACTTCCTGTGTTTCTGGAAGAGCAGGCAGAACCACAGACATGGTATAGGAACCTTTCAGGTAAGACAGGGGCACTCAGCTGGCATATCTTTGTCTGCCCAAGCTGACATCAGCAAGCTCTGAGTGCTGCTGAGGATTAGGTAAGGTGTTAATTTTATAAATACATTCTTGATAAACAGGAAGAATGAGGGAGCAGGTCTGTGGTACAACACCCTTGCTGGAAAATCAAAAGGTTGTGTCAGTGCAGCTGTTCTGCATAGTGCAAGCCCTGATAGCCACGACATTTTTTACATCCTCAAGCACATGGTAAAGCCATTTAATTTAATTTCTTGTTTAGGTTCAGCCTCAGCAATGTAGAGTTGTAGTTAACACAAATTACTTTTACCCCAAGGTTTTGTTTGTTTTTTAATGGGTTCTCAGCTAAGCAGACCCCCATGACCTGAGAGTCTTCTGTTCAAGGAAGCTACCTCAGCCTTTGCTGACCAACATCCCAGCTGAATTTGAGGTTATCTCAGGATGTGGGGAATAAAACCAATTCCCAAGCTCTATCTTACTCACTTAAATCCCTCACGTTGTTTGAGTCAGTATCTCCCAGTCCACACTCCCTTCCCTATTTCCCTTGCCTCCACCTGCCATATATTCCAGTTTTAATACTCTTATTCTGCACCAGTCCTACTCAAGCACCTCATTCCGCCTCCCCAACACCAGCCATACAGTCTTCTCGCTTCCAGTGCCCCAGGCTTCTTACTGATCCTCCAGCTATATAGCCTCTCCTCCTACAAGGAAAGTGTCTACTGGAACATGGCTAGATCACATGTCTTACTTCCAAGCCCTGCCCCAGGTTCCTTCTCTGCTTTTCCAAGCAGACCATCACCACTGGTGATGATCCCAATGCTGTCATGGAAATTAATCTATTTATGAAAACTAAACCAATTTTTTTAAGTAGGAAGGCTGCTACAGGTTTTGACACTGGGATTGTTCTTGTAGCCAAGATGCCCACTGGATCTTTCTGACATGTGTGATAGGGACACAACTACTCTACACTTCTCACTTGCTCTGCACTGAACTGCAAAATCAGAACCATGAAACTGAAGAACCATTCCTGAAGCTCTTTTTGCTGACTGAAAGGGTCTATATCCTGTCTCTCTGGGCTCGGTGGTGGCAAATGGTGCGCTTAATCTGGCTTGAGAGATCTTCAGTTATCTGTGTTTGGAAGTTCTGCAGAAAAAAGAATGTGCTTTAATGACTGGCAAGTAGAAAGACATCGTGGTGTCTACTGCATGCCTAAAATGCACAAACTGATCTGCTACAAATGGAACAGCTGCAAAATTTGCTTTGATACTGAGCAGCATTTCAAGCATAGGAAGTAAGGCACTCCTACTAAATAAACTGAGAATGTTCATCATCTCTCTAACAGTACACCACTGCCACTTACTTTAAAGCCCAATGTTTCATTCTTTACACAGAATTAGTTAAGAACTAATTTCTCATTAAAAGGGAAATATGCATAAAAAATAATCAGGCTGCAGTTGTACAGTTTTAATGTATTGCAAAAGCTTAACTTTGGAAACAGGTTCTAATGCTACTCTTGCACACAGCTACTCTTCCAAAAGATTGTGTTCAGTATTTCTTACCGACATACATCAATATGCCATACTCTCACTGAATTTCACATTAAGAGAATATTTGGGATGAAAACTCTTAGTCTGGCTAATGATCCACTGCATCTGTGTAGAAGCTACTCAGAAAAATTATGAAATCCATTTAGTAAGGCCACACAACTAAGTCCAGTATATTGAATAAAATAATTTTATTTGTATTTATTTCTTCAGTTTTTGTTTTGTTTTGGTTTTTTTTAAACAAAGTTTATGGAATCTTAAAGTAGACGATAAAAGGTAACTTTTAACTGAGATTTAATATGGGAGACTCTCTACTCAAAAATATGTCAAACATTAAGATCATAAAGAACTCTAAGGTTCTGTGCTATACTGTATGATATGTAAACAGATTTTGAAAATACTTTTCCATTATATATTTTGACACAGTATGCACAAATTTAAAAATATAAAATAAAAATGAAGTTTAAATGCCTCAAGGGATTTCTTAGAAGTAAAGCCATTTGAAGAGCCATTTCCAGTCTGTGGTGACAAACTTCTATATAATCAAAATATTTCTTTTTTTTCACAATGCAGAGTAACCTGCTGAAGGCAACTCTCTGTCAAAGTGACGCCAGCAACACAGATCTGATTGTATGACTCCAGCACTTAAAAGAGCACATTGGTTATACATGGCTTTTAACCTTGGGCTACAATTATGCTACCAGAACTAAATTCAAGTCTAAATCAGTCATGTAGAGCGGTGCGTGTTGTCTGAACACTGTTTAAAGTCCTTGTTTTCCAGATCTGATGAAGGTGGTGAAGGCGCTCTGAGGTTCTTGTGCTTACATTCAGGGCAGGATGAACTTTGCAAATGCCAGATTCTCCGATTAACGACAAACCACAGATCCCAAAGTAGGCATGTAAAGCATCTGAAAGAAGGATGGAAAAGGAAAAATCATATTATGTCAGGCTGTTAGGTTGTAACAGCCAAGCGTTCCTGGATTCCCACACTCCAGAGTAATTACAGCCACTGAAAAGAAACAAACAGGTGCTACATTTTAAACTTGAGTTTTGACAGATCAATTGCTGCCCAAAGCCAGTGAACTGATAAGTCTTCAATCTCTAAAACTAGTCTAGTTTGGTTTTATAAAAATTCTTGCCCATTATTTTATTTCCTCTGAGTGCTCAGGCCAAACAGAAACAGAATTTGAGCATCTGGAAATAACTTCTGTCCACAAAGCAATTTTTTTTCCCAAACATGAAAGAATTTTTTGGCTGATTGTTTGATGAACAGCTGACTACTGAAACACCAAAACTAGTGCCAATAGCTGCCAAACAGCAACATTTAGAAGTATGAAAGAAGTCATTACTTTACCTAGCTTCTTCCCTTCCTGAGAGAATGCCCTAAGGATAGGAATTCATGAGGTGGCTTGATCAGCCATAACAGATGACTGCCACCAGAAAGGATGTTGCTCCTGCTGTCTACCCCACACCAGCACTAGTTTGCTGAACACCCTCCACAACCTAAAGCAATTGAAAAAACATGGAAGAAAATTAAGCCAAGCAGGTGAAATGGACAGTTTTCTGACATTTTTAGTAAATTAAACTGGTTTGTAGAAGGTTTTGATATACACCAAAGCTACTGCAAAGAGAGGAAAGGGCGTGCAGCTGTACTTGGGGAAGTTGGGAGGAAGAGAAGTGAGCCTGCCTCCTCTGGGCAGCAGCAAGTCATTTGATTCGATTATCTGCCCATGAAATCACAGGCTAAAGATGGAAAGAGGATATAAACTTGATGTGCCCCTTATAAATTCTCAACACTTTGTAATATTTTGGAGGTGTCAGTAAATTTGTATCTGACTAAAATGGTATTACAAGAAGGTAACTGGATAGACAGACTCTGAAAGAAAGCTTCTGCCTATCAACATAAACATGCAGACAAAAGCACATCAAGCAGATACGGTCCCTACTGACCTTGCAGAAAGTATATTGGATAAGGCGACCTCATCTTCAGGAAATACAGTGTATTAACCCCTGTGGACAGCTACACTGATATGCACTAGAAGCCATATACAAACCTAATCACCTGGATATGGCTATTTGCTGGATTTAACTACAAAGTTCAACAGTTGTACAAATCCGCACTGACATAATACTCAAGTTAGTTCCAGTTAAAACACATATATGCAGCCTGTGTACTCCTCTTTTTCAAGCTATGAAACACATCAAGTTTTTCAAGGTCAAAAAACCTAGGTCCAAACATTTTGTTTCATAAGTAACTCACAAATACAGAATACAACATGCAAGGTCACAACCACTCAGCTGCTGTCTTCAAAACATAACAAAGTAAGGCTGCTATGAGAGCAAATCTCAGTTCAGTGTTTTACATGGAGTAATTGTGCACACTCATTTTCATCCTCTCACTCTTTTACATTAAATCTTTTGATCTTTGTCTTGCACAACCTGTAATTCACATGTGCTTCCAATTCTTCTACATTGCGTATCATTTAAAGGTAACAAGTGAGGCGCATCAGAGTTGCAGCACAACCTCCTGGGGCATGCAGCAGTACATCCAGTAATTTAAAATAAAAGTTTATTTCAATCTAGTCATGAGTTATGCACAAGTCTGAAAGAAACCCAAATGGCTTTGGGCTCTAACAAATGTGTTCTAGCAAAATGTTGTGGATTAAACCTGGTAGGCAGCTAAACACTGCACAACTAGTCCTCACTTCCCTGCCTCCACGCCAGTGGGAGAAGATGAAAGGGAGAGTGAAAGTGAGAAAACTCGTAGGTTGAGCTAACGAGAGTTTATAGGGAAAGCAAAAGCCATGGGTACAAGTAAAGCAAAGTAAGGAATTCATTCACCTTGTCCCATCACAGGCAGCCATTCAGCCACTTCCCAGAAAGCAGGGCTTTATCATGCATAAATGTTAATTGGGAAGACAATAATTGAAAACTGTCCCTCACTTCCTCTCTCTTCTAGCTTCCACTGCTGAGCACAATGCCATGTGGTATGGGGTACCCGTGTGGTGAGTGGGGTTCAGCTGTCTCGGCTGTGCCCCATCTCAGCTTCTTGCACACCCCTAGTCTGCTCACTGGCAGGGCAGCGTGAGAAACAGAAAAGGCCCTGACACTGTGTAAGCACTGCTCCACAACAACTAAAACAGCGCGTTATCAAAGCTGCTTTAGTCGTGAACCCAAAACAGCACTACAGAGGCTACTAGGAAGAAAATAAACTCCATTAAACTACATTAATGTGTTTGATGTTTGTAACAACTAGTATTAACACAAGGTAGCAGATCTAACTGCTTAACATGAAAAACTTGAGGAAAAAAATATGCAGCGGTCGCAAAGAACAGAACAAATACAGTAGGTGCTCAGTTCTGTTTTGAAGTATGAATCTCCCTACTAAGCCAGTGTCTGTGCCTGCTTTACAACACAATAATGCTACTACAATGATATTCAGAAGATTTTTCAGATGAATGCCCTTCCTATATACAACCTGTACATCACTATAAACAAAACAACTGTGATGTCCTATTCCCTTTGTTATCCTCATGTTTCCAGAGGATTACTAGTATTTAAGAGTCTTTTGACTTATTACATTTATTTTCAAAGGCAAGAAAGTTTTCTAAGCTCACTGCTCAATAAGCACAGTGGTCCAAACACTATTTTAAAGCAAGAAAAAGTGCTAAATAATGCTACTGGCCTCCAGAACTAACAATATATTGATGTCTGTTAGCATGGGCACATCAGGACTATGAAATAACATTTCCCTGAATCATCAGTTGGGAAAAGTTACTTGCAACTTTGGAAGTCTATGTAACATATAGATTATCACAGGCAGTTGACTGTTGTCTGCAATTTCTTCTAGTCTTCTTCCCAAAAATATTATTTCACAGCAAAGCCAGGTTGACTATCCAAATTTAAACAGAGCTTCTATAAACTAGGAGCTACAGAGGTTCAAATTCCAAATCTATCTTAGAAAGCGCCTTGGAAAAAATGGCATATTCTTACTTTACAAACTTTCCCTGGAATATTCTGTCACATCTGAGTTTTGCAACAAAACCAAGCTGAGGACCCTGTTACCAGCTTTACAAATGCTAAATGCTTCAAGGAGAATGAATAATTTCTGTCCATATTCAGCCTCAACAGAAATATTAACTCATTTTCAGGATGACCCATACCACTCTCATTACCTTCACATTTTGCATTTGCAGTTAAGTCAAAGGGACTCTACATTCAACCAACAGTAGGCTTTCAAGAACAATCAAGCTGCACATATGCTTCGTGTTAGTGAAGTGTGAAAACTACTGTGGAGACACACAACGATCAAAAGACAGCTTGCCTTTCAGATTCTAGGCTGAGCTCGCAGGAAGCTCAGCTGTGGATGTGTGACAACAAAATAACAATTCCATACAAACAATCTCTGCAATACTGCAT